GATAGTGGCTCTTGCTTAGTAAGTGAAGTTGCAGGAGGTGTGGGTGTAGTTGTGTCTTATGGGGACTGTTGCTGTGTCCAGTTAGACAAAAATTACAACTGAATAATGATCAAAAAACTAAAAGGACATGGACAAAAAACACACCATGTAATTACACAGGAACAGTAGCCAAAAAAAGAAAAAAGGGAAAAAGAAGAAGAAAAAACAAGAAAACCTGCAATATCTGAGGATAGGGCACTAAGAGAAAAAAGGTAGAGAAGGAAAATAATGAAGAAAAAAATGGGAACAAATGCAAAAAGAAAAACAAGATATGGGGTTAACTATGAGAAAAAAGGGGGAAAAAGAAATTAAATTTAAAAAAAATATATTTCAACCAGGAACAGGGAAAAGAAAAAAAGCTAAAAACTAGGACCTGGGAGGGGAAGTATAAGAATAATATTATAAAGGATAAAAATATTAATAATAATTGTTTTAAAACAGACAAATACAAGCAAACTAATCATCAGGAAAAAGAAAGTGAAGAAGAAAAAAAATAAAAAAAGTGGAAGAAGAAAAATTCAGTGGAGGACAGGGCAGGGTACCCAGGCTCTGTCTGAGCACAGACTGTGATGGAGTTCCTGTGGGCCCAGAAGGTAGGTGGGAGTGGAGGATGGCCACACCTCTCTTCACCAAGTGGGTGTGGGGTATAAGAGTAACAAGAGGTATGTCACACTGTTTCAGTCTTGCAGGTCTGGAGTGTCCTTGGAGTTGCTGGAAAGCAGAAACTCTTCTTAAGCCCCTGGAATCTCAGAGAGCACTGTCTCTTTAAATATCCTAAATGGTGAAGCAGCTTGTAACATTCAAAATGGCGGCACCCTCTGGACCAGCAAAAGTCCACAGCTCAGTCTGCCTTCTCTTCACCTTCTCCGTTTATTCCTCAGCCACCAGACCAGTCCTCTGTGCAGTGCCTGGCTAGCAGCACTGATTTTTAGGTTAATTCTTAGGATGTACCACCACTCGTGAATCTCCAAGCTGTTTGTGCCATGCTGTCAGGATCGCTTAGGATCGCTGCCAGACTGCAGCTCCATCTGTCTCCTTTTTTGGTATTTTTATGCAAATTCTTCTGCTATTTGGGGTTTGGTCCACTTCTATATCCTTCCCTTCAAGGCTCAGGGGTCCAGGATTGTCTTCTGTGTTGGTGTTAATTGGTTTCCCTTTTCTTTGTTGAAGAGGGTCTGTGCAGACTTTCTGCCTAGTCCGCCATCTTACTGGACCTCTCCTGAGTGCGATTCTTATGGATGCCCACTCTGTGGCAGGAACTCTGCATATGTTCTTACAGATTATCTTCACAAACCTGCTAGGGAGGTTTTACCCCTCCACACACAGGAACACTGGTGAGCTATCCACAGGGAAGGAAGCTGCCAGGAGTATGTGGGATACAGTCCCCAACAGCCATCTCAGTGCTACACACACACATTCACCAGTCCTATACCCATAGTGCTGATGACCCCCACATACCCTCCATCAACAGCCACAAAGCAGGCCTGTGCGTTCACCCAAGGAGACTGGAGAAGTCTACTACCCTTGCTTTACCCCCAGATTCACACGTGCTTCCCCCCAGACAACACACATAATGGCAGACATGAAATGGACAGAGACAAAAGATAGAGGAACAGGCATGTGTACATTTTTCTCCTGGATGCTGAGAACTGTTCCCACAGCACCTCCCCAAAGATGCTTCACAAAGGATTTTGCAAAGTCTATTTTAAAAAATAGCCTAAATTAAAGACAAAAATAACCTTTGATCTAACAATTCTCTACTAGGACATGTCTACAGTAAGAACAGTGTACAAGTGCAGAATGATACTTAGTACATGAAACAGTGGGAAAATGTTTAGTGAATTAAAGTATACAATCATACAGCCATATAATTAAATCCTAAACTGTCTCTAAAGAAATGAGCTGGGCTACAGATTAAGCTACAAAACTCAGAGACAAAACACATCTGAAATGGGGTCAGCTTCGGGGACGGACTACAAGCAGGAAGAGAGTAGAGTAGGTGCAGGGAGCTGACAATGTTAGGCTGTGTTACTAACTGCATAGCTGCATAGTTCTCATAAGAAAGATCATTTGGAAGTGTGTCTGCATCTGCCAGATGCCACTCTGCCTGCTGTCCTCTGCCACAGGGCAGGCTTACCTGAGCCCAGGGTGCGCAGGGAGGAGCGGTCATACTTTTTCACCCAGGTGTCACCGTACTTCAGCAATAGCCGCACAGCTGTTGGGGCACAGTAGAACTGGTTGATCTGTAGGCGCTGCACCATCTCCCAGTACCGACCTACAGAAAGGCCCATGTACAGTTAGTGCAGCCCTATGAACATGACCATCTGAAGCCCATTAGAGATAAGCCAGTGGGTCCCATGTGTGGGATACATGTACATGTATCATGTGTTCTCAGAAAGTGTGCAGAATTATTCTATGGAAGATGAAAAAGGCTGCAATGGAGCTTATCCAGCCCTCCATGCACCACACCCAGTCCACTGCTGGCACTGAATGACACAGTGAGGTAAAGGGACATGACTAGGAATTTTAAAACTATTCTGAGGCTAATATAGAACTTTTGTCCATTCCCATTTAAATAGCCTGTAATGTGGTGATTAGTGTTCCCTGGGTACACTTAGCATGTACTTGGCTTCACAAGAGCCCCACTAAACAAATGGGGATTGGAGACTCAAGTGGTTAAGATGGTGAACCTAAGATTGCTATAAAGATGGACTTTCAACCCCTGAGCTGTGTTCCTGACATGTTCTTAATTGCACTGCCATCAGCCCCATCTGGCTAGAGGAGGTAGTAGGGAGCTCTGCGCACAAAATTTCAGTACTATGCATGCTTGGGTAAGAGCTTCTGCATAGCCAGTAACATTCAACACAATTAAAATAATTACTGGGTACACTGAGCTGTGTGGGAAGAAGAAGCCAAGATGAATAAGACATGGCTGTGCTCTCAAACCTCCTTGAATCAGCCTCATTACACAGAGGGGGCTCCAAGCCATCCCTCAGTCTGATGGAGGTGCACTCCCAGGACAGCCCTGTTGACATAGGCCAGGAATAGCGGCCTCTCTCCATTGGGGCCAGGCTCTGTAGCATCCACCAGACTCCCCTCTCCCATTTATATGATCTTACAGAGATAGGGGCCAGCCCAATGACCCTGGTAGAGGCCCATGCCTAGCAGCTCTAGGTCCACCAGCATTTGCTCAGTGGGGCCACATAACCACACTTTGTCCAGAGTGCAGGCCTCCACCTTTTCATGACCCCACCTCTGTTCTCAAGCTCCTTCCTTGCCTCAGCACAAGGTCCCAACAGGGCCCCAGGTCCTCACCAGCATCAGGGTAAACTGGGGTGCTCTCAAAAAGGACACTGGTGGCTCCATTGCAGAGTGGTCCATACACCACGTAGCTATGTCCTGTGATCCAGCCAATATCAGCCACACAGCCAAAGACATCACCTGGCTTACAGTCAAACACAAGCTGCAGACAGAAGGAGGGGCTGTCAGGAGTGTGCCCCCACTCTCCCACACCACCAAGAAAGAGAATGCATGTATGACATTTTATGACTGCAACCATCCAGAGAGGTGCCCACCCTGGGATGGGAAATTGCCCCTCAGCAGCCCTCTGATGATGATGTACATGTTCTCACCCAGATAGAATGATCTGTGCTGACAATTTGGGATCAAGGTTATCCTTGATAGGCAGACTAATTCAGGGAAGGTAGATAAGCAAGAGGGAGCTGGGAACAACCCAGTATTGATATGGGTGGAGGATCACAATGTGTATCCATAAGTAAAAATCCATCTTGTACATTTAAGATGTGGGCACCTTTCTGCTTCAGTGATATAAAAATTTTTAAAATCCTCTAAAGAACTGCAAAACAAACAAATAAGACAATCTAAAAACACCAAGAAATACACCCACATCATCAGTTTCTAAGACCACACAACAGACACATACATCACCATGGTCTTGCCAAGAGGCCCAACGAAGTCTGAACCCAACTGCCAATTTTCAGGGACACAGAGGACAGAGGGACAATTGGCAATACCTAGACCATAGAGCTTCATGGGACTAAAGGTTGGGTTCTACAACAGATTCAAGGAAATAAAGAAAACATTAGAAAATCTATAGATTTGAAAGAACTAAAATCAATATTGAACTTTTAAAATGGTCAGAGTAAGGTATAGTGTCTAGGGATGCATGTTTGGGTGACAAACTACAGAAAGAAAAGCACGGGAAGTGATGGCAGTAGAAGTTACGAGTGTGACTTCATGAGGGGGTGGTGAAGAATGCTACAGGACACATGGAATTGGGCCAGGCACATGGAAGGGGCTTCTGTGTGGCTTCTTGGACAGTGGCATTTGCCTTGTAATGATTTATTAACTCATCATTTTATTTTGGCAGTTTTCTGGATTTGTGTCCTGCTTTACAATGAAAACACGTATTTTCAAATTTTTGCGTGAGTGGCCTACAGTATCTCATTGCTTTAGATAGAATCAGATTCTCCAGGAAATGTTTCCAGAAGGTAGCCATGTAGTGGCCAGTGCCCTATAGGCTGTGTCTCAAGGTGGAATGGAGGATTCCATATAGGAAGAATGCAGTTTTACTTGTGAAAAAGGCAGTACATGCTGGTGAGTCGTGACATCCATATCCTGAAGGCCCACAGCATGCAGGAATTGAAAAGGATTTCTAACCCTGTCTCAGTGTGTATCAGGACTGGAGATGTTCTCTCCCTGCAGTTTCTGAAGGGAGAATAGGTAGTTGGGCCAACCTTTCCCCAGTGGACCTGGCAATAGCCTAAGTAAGCCCTGTCCCCACCTCACACCCACCCAAATTCACTCATATCTCAGGCACCCCTTCAGACTCAATGTTATCTATCCTGAAGAAACCCACATCCTTTCCCAGGGAGGAAGAAACTAGATCCCTGCCTCCTAATGTAGCCTCACTGCCTCGGGGCCTGCTCAAGAGCACAGTGAGAAAACGCAAGCACCCCACACCTGCAAGGCAGCAGGGCCTCTGGCCTGAAGTCCAGCAGTCCTATGCCCACATCCTGAGCCTATGGAGGGATTCACCCCACCTTTGTCACCTGTCCTCAGAGGAGGCTACCCCACCCCCATAGAGGCCATCCACCTTGTGAGTCAGCGCTGCATAAAGTAGGTAGCCTGCTTGGGTGTGCACGAGCCCCTTGGGTGTGCCGGTGCTCCCTGAAGTGTACAGCAGGAAAAGCATGTCCTCACTGCCCATGCTCTCTGGCGTGCACTCGGGCTCCTCGTTAGCCATTTCCTGTGCAGGAGAAAACACAGTAGCCTGTCCAGGGTGTATAGCTCCTCAGCGCCATTTCCCCTCAGTGATGAAGGACCCAGCAGACACGATCATCCTTTCCAACCCACCCAAGGCCTAATCCAAAGGCAGAGAAGACATAGCATAGGACACATCCAGTCTCAATAGCATATTTGTACATGTCCAAACATGTCAGCAGCATTTGGGTTCTACCTTCCCATCCAGGATGTTACCCACTAAGACTACAGGGGGACCTGGGTACCTCTCAGGACCCAGATTGAGAACCACAACTGGCAAGCTTCACACCCAGGAAACCCAGTGATCATCTCCCTTCTCAGTCTATGCCATGTAAGGTGAACTTACCTGCTCCAGGGGAACATCCAGGTCCCCCATGGTGACCTTCTTGTCTGTCCTATGGGCTACCAAGATGTGCTTCACAGTGGGACAGAGCTTCACAGCCTCGTCCACAATCTTCTTCAACTCAAGTACACGGCCACCCCGGAGACCCTGGTTAACAGTGATGACCACCTTGCATTTGGCTGCAGAAACAACATGAACATTCAATTTCCCTCCAACATGATTCATATGGTTGTATTCAAACTGCATACTGGAAGACCAAAACTATGATAAAGTCCAATACTGACTAAGAGAATTAACAAAAATATGAAGGTCAGCAGCTGTGCATCCATTCTGCATGGTGCAAGCACAAAGCCAGTCCCAGCTCTACAGCTGTACTGGAAGTACTGGAAATTGGTACGTAGTACCTCCACTCTCCCCCAGACTTGGCAGCATAAAGACAACTCCCAACTGGAATCCCACCATTCCCTCCCAGCTGCCCTGTAGCTTTCCCCAGGAAAGGGCTGCCACACCACTCTGGCCACCTTGGTGGTAGAGTATGGCTGAGGCAAAGACAGTGAGGCTATATGTCCAAATGCCATCTCAAGGGCTCTGTATGGGCTTAGAACCATCTTGGGAAAATAACACCTGGGGGAAATGAATCTTCACCACCTCAGAGGACCAAGAATTCTCCCTCGTGCCCATCCCTCACACACACCTTCAACCATCTTCCCATTCCATGGCCCAGCCAGGTCCAGAAAGACCCAAACTTCCAAAGTTAACCAAGGAATGAAGCCCAGAGAAGGTTATGACACAAACACAAAGTAAGGCTCACAACCACAGGCAAAGAATCACCTCCACTCTGAGCTACTATGTGGGATGGCCCATAAAGAAGGGATCAAGGATCAGTGGGTTATTGTACAGTCAGCCTCCATAGAAGAGCTACGAAGAAATATCGAGTCATCATACTGACTGGCATTGCCCCACTTGCACCCCTCAGACATTTAATCACTATCAGTGTCTCTGTAGCTAAGGGCTCAACAAAGTAGGGTTAGAAGAGAGATCCACTGGGATGATAAAGGACATTTATGAAAACCCACAGTTAACATCATACGCAAAGATAGAAAACTGAATGCTTTCCCTCTAAGATCAGGAAAAAAAACTACTGTTATTCAGTCTTGTACTAGAAGTTTGTAGCCACAGCAATTAGGCATCAAAATTGAAAGGAAGAAGTAAAACTACCTCTACTCACAGATGACATGATCTTATATGTTTAAAATCCTAAAAAACTACATAAAAAATGTACAGCTAAAAAAAGATCTTCAGGGAAGTTATCAGATACAGTATCATCATGTAAAAAATACTATTCTAACTATGAATAATCCAAAGAGGAAATTAAGAAAACAATTCCATTTACAATATAATTGGACTGAGTTGGAACATGTCCCTCCAAAATTCATGTCTTTCCAAGAACCTCAGAATATGAGGTTTTGGAAACAGGTTTTATGCAGATATTATCAGTTAAGAAGAGGTTGTACTTAATTCAACATGACCAGTCTTTTAAGAAGAGAAGACACAGAAAGACTCAGAGGGAGACAGTCTGTGTGGACATGGAGGTAGAGAGTAGAGTTATACTGCACAGGAACACCTAGCTAAGTTTTGGAGGGTGCAGTGAATTGCTTGATGTGGTCCTTCCAGCCATTGTCCTCCATTCTGTGATGTATTTTAAATCCTATTATCCATGCCTGTTTGGGGTGGTGTGGTAGTTAAGGTCGGGTGTCAGCTTCACTGGGCAGCTGGTAGTAGTCGTTCCCTATAATGACTGGCAATTGGCTTTGTGGTGGGATTTGCCTTGAGCAACTGAGTAGCTGCTGATTGGTAAAGCCATCCACTTGGGTTATTTCTGTTGTAGAAACATAAGTGGAATGTATCTTGAGTCCTGCTTTGCTGGAAGGTATAACTCAAACCACCACCCTTAGCTTCCTTGAGGGTATACCTACAAATCTCCTGGGAAGGTTTGCCCTCCTCTTACTCCAGTTCTGTGTTTTGGCTCATCCTCATCTTACTCCTGGATTTGGGACAGCAGCTGTCATCTGATCTGCTGATCGAAGTTCATCAAACCCTGAGAATTGCAAGGATCCTCCAGACCCACTCACAGACTTGGGACTCGCCAGCCTGCCAGCCTCCACCACTACTAAGTGAGACAATCCCTTGGTGTCTGTGAGTTCTGTGAGGCATTACAGTGAAATACAGAACTAAGATGGGGAAAATTACTAGGAGGAGGAGGAGAAGTTAATGTCTGAAAAGATGAAGTGGCATGGTAGTTGTTTGGACATTTGGGACATCTTTAACTTCTGCCTCAAGGGTACCAACCTTGTGCTGATCTTTCTGAGAGAAATTGTTCAAGCAGAAGGAGTATTGTCCTATTGATGTCTGGATTTCATAGACTCCAGAACTATGAAAGAATAGATTTCTGTTGTTTTCACACATCTGGTTTGTCTTAGTTTGGTATGGCAGTCCAAGGAAACACACAAAGATTCTGGTCCAGGAAGCACACTGCTGTTGCTAACAAATATCTAAAAATGTAAAAGTGGCTTTAGAATTGGGTAATAAGTAGGGATTGGATGAATGGTGTGGTGCTTGACAGAAAAAATCCAAAATGTCTTGAAGAAACAGTTAGTAAATTTATGGACATGAAACATTTACAGCTTTGGAAACCCTAGGGGGCCATTCTACCCTGTCCTATAGGGTTGCCATGAATTAGAATGTACTTGATGGCAGTGAATTTAAAGATGCTTCAGGAGATTTAGAAGGAAATGTTATTGGACACTGGAGAAAGGCAAGCATTATTATAAAGTGGCAGAAAACTTGGCTGAATTATGTTCTAACATTTAGTGGAAAAGTAGAACTTCTAAGTGTTGAACTCAGATATTTAGCTAAGGTGATTTCCAAGCAAGGTGTGGAGTGCAGCCTTGGTCCTTGCTGCTTATTGTAAAATGTGAGAGGAAAAAGATAAATTGAGGAAAGACTCCTAAGCATAAAGGAACCAGAACTTGCAGATTGGGATAATTCTCAACCTATCTAGATAGTGTGTTCTACACTCACTGTCAAGAGTGTGGAGGAATGATCTTTTGATGAAGAAATGAGGTGTTACTCATGGATCCAATCACTCATCTCAGCAGAAATGCTTATACTGAAGGGGACAGAGAAGGGACAAAATGAAGGGAGGCATCCTTCAGGAAATGAAAAAAATTACTCTGAGGGGACTCAGGAGCCAGTGGAGCTATGCTGCCACCAGAGACGTGGAGGCATGGCCACCATCTCCAGGTTTCTAAAAGGTTGGGGCTACTACAAACAAGGGCTGAGATGGCAGGGCTGATGTGAAGGACCAAGAGAGTGGATGCAAAGGACAGAGCATGGAGTCAGGAGATAATTTTTATCAAGCTTTGAAAACTAATGGAATTTTCCCTGCTGGTTCACACACTAAATTTGAACTAATAACTCCTTTATTCTTGGTTTTCTTCCTTTTGGGATGGAAATGTCTATTCTATACCTATCTTGAGGATTCCTGGTGACACAGTGGTTAAAGCACTCTCCTGTGAACCTAAAAGTCAGGACTTTGAACCCACCATCTCATGGATCCAATCATACACACACACACACACACACACATATGGTATGTAGAATGGATGTGAATTTTGGGAAACCAGAGGGAGCACTGTACTGGATTGGATAAAGAGACATGGAAAGAAGAGAGCATGTGAAGACAGAGGCAGAGCTTGGAGATATGTGTCTACATGCTAAGGAACACCTGGTGCTACAAGATGTTGGAAAAAGAAGACTCCTTCCCCAGAAGTTTCAGAGGGTTCATGGCCCTTTGAACACCTTCATTTTAGACTTCTACCCTCCAGAGCTGTGAGAGATGAAAATTCTCTTGTTACAAGCCACTTGGTGTGTTGTACATTTCTTATGCTTTACAAATATCAAAAAGAATAAAATTCTTAAGAATAAATTTAACAAAGGAGATGTAAGACTTGTACAATGAAAGCTACAAAATACTGCTGAAATAAATTAAAGAAGACCTCAATAAATGGAAAATATTTTGGGCTCATAGATTACAAGACTTAATATTGTTACAATGTCAGTTTCCCTGATATATATATTTAATGCAGTCCTGATCAAAATCCCAATAGCTTTTTTGCATAAATGCAAAATCTGTCCTCAAATTCATATGGAATTGCAATGTAAGAGACTGCAAACAGCCAAAACAATTTTTAAAAAAGAATAGTTGAAAGATTCACACTTTCCAATTTAACAACTTATTTCAATCTTACAATAATCACAACAGTGGGGTAGTAGCATAAGGAAAGATATATATGAATGAATAAAACTGAAAGTCCTGAAAGAAAGCCATACATCTATGTTCAACTGATTTTTTTTTACAAGGGTGCTAAGATCATTCAATGGGAAAAGATGAGTCTCTTTAACAAATAGTGACAATCATATATCTGCATGCAAAAGAATGAATTTGAACCCTTACTTCTCACTATATACAATAATTAACTCAAAATTTATAAAAAATCTAAATATAAGAGTTAAACTATGAAATTCCTAGAAGAAAACAAAAGGCAGTTTTTTTGACCTTGGATTTGGCAAGATTTTCTTTTTTCATTATTTTTTGTGTGTGTGCGCTTTGGGTGCAAATTTGCCAAGCAAATTTGTTTTACATTAAACCGTTCATGTAAAACTGATTTCACAGCCCCAATTATCATCCCCAACCATAAAAAACTCTCCTCCCCTCTCCTCTTTGTGACCACCCTACCCTCTGCCCCCCCTTTTTTTTTTCATTGTGATTTGGGTGAAAGTTTACAGAGTAAATTCACTTTCCATACAGCAGTTCCCACACACGTTGTCTCATGACATTGACTACAATTTACCACAATGCCAACAGCTCCCCTCCTACTTCCTCCCAATAGTTACGTCTTCCCTGTGTACATCCCTTCATGCACTCCTGCCCCCTGAGCTGTCTCCCTGTGCATAAACAGCTTTTCTTTCTCCCATAATTGTTCTCTCGAAGCAGTGTATCTACCTCAGGTAAATGTTCAACTCATATGCCCGTCTTTTATTTGGCTGGAAGCCACAGGTGTGGGTTCAATTCCAGACCTGAAGGGCAGCTAGGGACCATAGTCTGAGTGGTTCCACC